GCTTCAGGGCCCAGGCACTTTGGAACGCGGTCGACGTGTGAGGGTCGCAGGCCCCAATGCGCGAGCGTGAGCGCTCCGCCTCGAGGCTCGATGCAAAAAGGACGTATCCTCCTGGATAAGCTGCATCACCAACCACAACCAGAACAGCCAAGATTGAGTCGCACTGACAGCCCTGGAGATGCCAAGAAGCTTAGAGGAGTTATCTGGATGATGTCGCCCAGTGATCCGGGCAAGCATTCGCTGACTTCACGCCCAACCACGAAACCCAAGGAGTCGAGTGCCGGCGCAAAATCAACGAAGCTTCTTTTTCACAGCGATTGCCTCAGGAGCCACAACGGGTGCAAGCGATGAGGCCGCAGTCGCAGCTTTCTTCCTTTCACCGGCCAGACGCCAGACAGCGACGCGCGAGTCTCCAGAGAGTGGGCCAAAAAATAAGAGGCCATGGGGCGCGCCGTCTTCGTGTGTGTCCGAGTTGATGGAGTTGAGATCATGCCCCAAAGGGGGTGGTGCGGAAAACAACAAGCGAGAGGGTACGACTTAAAGATCAAGAATCGCATCGCTACGAGTGCGTGCTGGCACGACACGCGTGCTCATGGGGACAGACTTGCCGCCCTCGGCCTTTAAATCGGTGTCATGGCTCGTGGCTTGTGGTGTCCTGTCCGCAGACAGGAACGCTCTCCGAAGCGGAAGGTTCCGAACCGTCGGAACTATTTCCAAGTGCCCCTGCCGAGTTAAGGAAAAGCCTTGCAATCCCACAGGCCACACAGATCCTGAGATTAGTGTGACAGTTCTTGCGACCATCGCAGCCTGGCCGGACACGCTCCGTCAAGCAAGCAACCTGCTACAGGCATGATGCGCGTTCTCAGGCTCAAGCGGTCAGCCGCCGCGAAGCCGGCCTGGCATTCTTGCCGGCGTCAGCTGACCGAGGGACAGCTTCAGGATTCCCAGCGCCGAAGGAGGAGATTCCCGTGATCTGCATGTACCGTAGCTTCTGGAGAGATACTTGGGGCATAAGAGGCATGGCCACGGCGACAGCTCGGAATTCGCCAGCTTTCGGAACCAGCCTCCAGGTCTTCTACAAGCACCCTGGTTTCGACTCGCACCCCTGTGTCCCCCGCAAAGGCACGCATCGCATAACGCGCCCAACGACCCGCCTTCGGCCATAGGAAGGGCCTGAAGAATGACAACGAACTGGCACTGCCAATCAGGTCTGCGTCGGGAGAGTGCGGGTAAGCGCGCGCCACCCCGCCGCTGCGGGGGACCTCCGGGAGCAGACGGCAGCCGATCCATGCGCTTTCCGAAAATGGGCGCTCCCGTTTTGGGGCTTCTTATAATAGGGACTATACTCTTCTGGGGTACATTAAGAGTTACCCCTACTATGGGGAATGCCCTTAGAAGTCAACGCCTCGTGGAACTTACAAGGCCGCGACTGGAAAGCATGCACAGCAGACTGCACCGCAGGCTGGCTAAGAGATGCACACCTCCAGGGCCACCTTCATTAAACGCCTGAGAGGCTTCGAACAATGCCTCTGAGGCGTTTGCCAACGTTTAGTGTTCAGGGGCGCTTTTGGACATTGCCGGCAGTTCCCTGACGTGGGGTGAAGCATCCAGCATCACGAAGGCCTGCCCGACGTCCCAAGCCTTCCGAGGCATTTTCCGACGAGGCCGAACATATGCGAATACGCATAACATCGTAGAACTGCCACGAGCCCTGGAAAATGTTGGTACGCAGGCCCTCACAACAATGAGCGGTAGATACCCTGAACTTGGCTGCGTCTTAGTACAGGAATCCCCAAAAAGGGTACTCCCCCTACTCACCTAAACCCGAAACCCTAAGCCCCCTGCATTAAGAATCGCGAGCCTGAAGTTCACTGAAGCTGAAGGGGCCAAAGAGCTCGTGCCCAAAAAATCGGGCCCTTGAAACCCTAGTTCGGGCTTCTTCAATTCAGGACTATAGGGTTTCATCTGCGAGCATGCTTGGCAGGCAAGCAGGCGCCTTAGCTCGAGCAACGCCACATCTCGCGCCACGATGGGCAGCCTGGGTGCAGTAAGCTGTGTCTCCATCGAGCTCCAGCGCCTCTCTGCGGTTTTCCTGTGTTGCCTCCCGGCCTTGGACACTTCTTGCTGGGCAGCTGTCATAGCTCACGTGGCGAGCTCCGTCGACCACGTTAGCAACAGTGCGGTACCCTAACCCATGAAAAAACCCTGGGCCCCAACTGCCCTAACTCCTATAATATCCTGCAACAAGTACACCCCTCTCGATCATCGATTGGAAGAATCCGAGAGACGTGGCTTGGGGCAACATGGTCTTTATCTCAGGGCTGCCTAGTTCCAGCACTTCAAAGCACCCTCTCCAAGCTGAACTCTCTTATGATCTGCCGCAGTTCGAAAGCGCAAGATCGTCAAGCTAAGGGGGGGCCAGTAGTAGCTGAGCACAGTGATGAACCTTCGTCCTCGTGTGGCTGTTTGGGGGCTCGATGCGGCTTTGAAAGGACCAACGGCTTATGGAAAGATTGTCAGCTTGTGCTACCGCAACTGGGAGAAGAGCTCATAGAACTCTGGGCCGAGGAACATCGAGCGGGCTGCCGCTCGACAAGAGTGAGAGAACCCGACGCGGCACACTACGGAGGACCGCGAGTTTATGACGGGCAGGCTGACCCAACGGAGGCCGGGGACCCCAATGTCTGGGTTACCAAGGGGGTGGAGGCTGCAAGCGCCAGAGACGCGCTTCACGCAGAGCTCCAGGATCAGGCCAGGTCGTGTCGCGAGCCTTCGGGGACGGAAGCCGGGTACTGCCCAGGCCTTGCTAAACTGACCTTGGGCCTTGGACGCCGTGACTGGTCATGGCTGACCACTGATGCAGCCAGAACTAAGCAAGCAAGCATGAAAGGTGATCTGATCTCAGGACATGCGCTGAAGAATTTGCTCCCAAAGAATGCGGCGCGACGCACATGGGAGGGAGCAGTGTAAATTTGGCCAGCAGTGCCAGCAGTCTTGAATGTCAGCGATGCCGTCTCAGTGCGCACGCCCGCCAATAAAGTGGCGCCAAGCCCTCCATTTTCAGGGGGCGGAGCATGCGAGGCCAAAGAGCGCTTGCTATGGCTCCAGACTGACCTGCTGCACGGCCATGGAGGCTTTCTGCCACTTAGGCCTTGGCAGGGGTATCTTTGTTCCAGCAGGGACAGGCCAGCTTAGCCGGAACCCAGAAAGAGGCCACGCCTCCCGACGCCAGCCCGAAGCATTTTCAGCTCAAGCGGTTACTTGTCGGAGCGCTGCGTGCGGGGCGCGTTCTTGCCAGTGGCACTCCCTACAGGAGCTTTCTGGAATTTGGGATAGGCTGACGATTAGACATAACAGGTACCTTCACGAAGCTCTCGCATTGGCTCACAGGAACTCTGCGGGAGAGCTGATCGAGGGACAGCCAGCGCGAACACGCAAGCCCAGGAACACTACAGGTACACATGACCGGCAGCTTGACGGACGGCAAGGGCACAGGGACACCAACCCCAAGACCGGCGGAAATTTCGTCAGTGACGGAGCCTGCACCCCGTTGAAGTGTAAACACCGAGCCACTACAAAAGCCAGGTCACACCATTGGTCTCCAGACTCTCCAGAGTCTCCAGACCCTACCTCAAGCACTTCGGAACCCTGGTAGTGACCCTGGGCAAAGGAGGTGCGGCGGCTTGACCGCTTTAAGGCCACTCTCTTATAAGGCAACCACTGTGAGTCGTTATGACCCACTTGTACCCATTTAAGGTTTTCGAACCAAACGTTCGCAGAAAGCAGCTGCCAGCGACCAGATGGGTCGATTGACGAAGGAGTTGCACGTCAGTACCGCTACGTGTCTCCACCTTCATCGCACGCAGGGGTTGGAACTCAGGCGAGTGCTAGCCAGCCTTCTTGGTCCCTGTTTCAACCGGGGCCAAATGGAATTGATTGATCAGCCATGTACACACACCCGAATCCCCAAGCACAACAGTTTCACCGCAGCAGGGCAGCATGAGCCAAGGGCCATCCTGAGGCATGCAGACCTCAGGCATGCATCGAAGCTGATGCTTGCCATGCCCTACCGGATCCGACGGAGGCCCTGCGCAGCAAGAGAGCTGATTCTTCGAGAATTCTCGAAGCGAACATGAAACCTGAGGACAATTCAGAAGGCTACCAGGCACCTCGCAAGCTCGATGTTGGGAGGCTGCTCCCTTTTAATTATACCAGCTCGGGCTGTTACACCCCAACTGGAGCCCAAAATAGGCTCAGGGAATCCTTGCAGGCCGAGGAACGTCTAGCGGCCTGCCGGTAGACTAACCCCACAGCGAGCAGGTGAGAGGCGTGAGGGGCCTTTAAGGCGAAGCGAATTCCTCCACAACCTGGCAAAGGGTATCACAGGGTATCACTGCAGTCCCTACTCTCTTCAAAGCCGTCCTCAGCCTTGTAGGGTCACTGGAGGCTTAGCCTTTGGAGCCCTTGGCGATATCCAGGGAGTCCTACAGCCGAAGAAGTCGAAGGTTGCTTCAGTGGTACTTCCGTCTACTCGGCTAGAAGTCCATGCCATGGACCCTGAGCCCATAAGCCCTCATTCCTTCATGCAACAGCTTACAGAGGATACCCCGAAAGTACCCTCGCAGCACCCGGGCTGGAGCCTCCTTACATGGAAGCGCCGCATAGGACGGGGAGCTTGAGTATCCCTGCGGAGGGCACAGCAGGTCCTGCGGCCCTTGGCGGTCATGTCTGGGATGGAGATGATTGTGACAGTTCGCACCGCCGCCCACTCGCAATCATTTACCAGCTTTAGCAGAAAGCGGTCCCTCACACACTGCGACGGTCCGTGGGCTGCAGGTTGCATGTACGTTTCCATCAGCGCCGTGGGCTTGCCATGATGCAAAGAGCCTGAGTCTTGACAGGCATGGGCATGTTGGCTTAAGGATGTTTAGGGTTTAGGGCTGCTAAGCCGGCTGCTACATAGGAATTGACCACGCGCTTCGTGAAAGGGGCAGAGACCAATGGCACGCAAGACGGAGGGAACCCGACATGGAAAGGAGCCGCGACCCAGCACACAGGCTTCGGTGCGCCGACTCACCATTTTGGCGTCTCGGATATACGCAACTTCTCTGAATCACTGCAAGCTGCCATGGCCGGCCGGGTCCTACTGCACACCAAGAGAGCTGATTCTTTGCACACGGTGCGTCCTCACAGTCAGCGTGGACACGAAACCTCATGAGGAGTGGTGCGCGCGAACTTCGAGCGTCATGTACCCAGATGGACTTTGCCAAGATTGGAACAAGTACCGGCGCAGGTGTCAGACACGACAGGAGCTGTCAAAGAACGAGGGAATGCGAGATAACGGCAGAAAAGGTGTGTGGGAACCAAGCTGAGGAACGGCACTCACACTCAGCAGGGTTGTGCCGTGGCAAGAAGGGGCCAAGCAAAGTTTCATGCAGCTGAAGCCTAAAGCAGGCAAGGGCAAAGGGACTCTGCAAGGGAATGGCGACCGACGACACTGAAGAACTTATGAGGATCCCGGCCGCATGTTCGAGGCTGGAGCCCTTGGGCTGGAGTCCGCTGAGTTCACTCCGCTGGGGATCCCATCATCTTGACTTCGGCCGGTGTGCCACAAACACTTCGTGGCGGGCCAGGCCCAAGCCCCATGTTCCAAATCTGTGAATCCGAGGGACAATACCTGGGAGGCGTGCTGAGGCACAACATGCGTGAAAAGGCCTTACACCGCCTTGGCGCACGGCATGAAAGGCGCTCCATGTGAGAAAAGGTGCAACAGTGAATGCCAAACCCCATGTGCACGCAGGTTCCAGGCAAACAGTCAGGAGTGCGAAGTTTTGGGCGTGCCTGCCTGCTCCTGAGGGGCGGGCAACGGAAGTCCCCTCAATGCACGTGGGTGGGATCTGCTTCCTAGGTGTCAGGCGTTTTGGGGAGGGATTTGATTCACAGGCCCTCTTTTAGATTGAATGTGCATCAGCAACCTGCACCCTCCATCGGAATACAGTGCGAGGCACCCTTGAAATCTTGCCTCCGCATGTCGAACCTGCACCTCTCAACACGCCCTCCCAGGGCTCCTAGGGGCCCCAACTCACGCAAAAGCACACTGGCCCTTCGCACGTTCCCTTGTGCATCTAGTTTTTTGCACCACAGATTGGCAAATGAGTCAGGCAGGAAGGGCACGCGCTTCTGGCGCACTACGGGCCCTGTGATGTCTGATTCGTCCAGCTTTCACAGGCGTTCCCCAAAGGGCACACGGGGTTCCTTAGGCCTTATGTTGCGGGGCGCACCGTCGCACCATGGTTCCAGTGGCAGTCACACTCACCTCTGGCCGTCCTACGGCACATGGACTGCAGGTTGCGTGCTCGTTAGATGATGCGAAGGGTCCCGATCCAGGGCTCTAAAGGATGGCCCCTGAAATGCATCCCAGATGGAAAGAAGGGCCTTGACTGAACCCCAAGTGGGCTATGCCCCAGGGTGGCGGGCGTGTGTAACCTGGGGGTGCGGTGGAGTACCCGCGGTGGCGATGCAAAGAGTTGCTGAACCTTGACATTCTTAAGGGCATCTGGGCTTGAGGATGTTTCGGATGTTTCGGTCTTACGGCTACATAGGAATTGAACCCCTGGCACAAGCAAGCGCGTGTGCGCCTGCGAAAGCTCTTGGAGAAACACCTCCTACTTCTGAGGAGCGAGGGCAAACCAACACACACGTGCAACACGTGCAGACATGCTCATAGGCACCCCTCGGCACACGCAAGTGACCATCCACCTCGTCAAAGCCGCCAGAGACAAAGGCACGCAACAGGGCTGGAACCCGACATGCAAAGGAACCACTAGAACAACACTCTCTGGTTCGACACAACACATTTGCGGTGAAGCGCAGAGGCAGAGGCGCGGCGACTCACCACTTCTCTGAGTCACTGCAAGCAGGGCGGATCCTACTGCACACCAGGAGGGCCGATTCTTTGCACATGGTGCATCCTCGCAGTCGAGGTGGGCATGAAACCTCATGAGGAACTCATGAGGACCTCGGCCTCGTGTTCACGGCTCGGCTCCTGAACGTGCAGGTGCGGTCAGCTGCGAGGACTTCTGCAGACCAAGGAATCCTTAGCAGGCTCCTTCTCAAAGGGCCAAGGGTCCGCTGACTTCGCTGAGTCCATTGGGGATCATCTGGGCTTCAGCCAGTGTGCCACGAACACTTCGTGGCGGGCCCAAACCAGATGTTCCCCCAAAAGAGCTGGGAGTCCGAACAGAAACAGCTGGGAATCACCCTCTCACCCCCCCCCCCCCCCAGCGACAATGGGCTGCAGGTTGCATGTTCGCGCGTAGATTGGCCGCCTGGCACGGATCGGAGCGCGAGTGGCTCAACGGAGGTTTAGAGTTTAGAGTTTAGGGTTTAGGGCTTATAAGATGAACGGCGCTGCAGGGGCTTCCAGCTTGAAAGTGGGTTCTTATTCGGGCGAGGGACGGTCATGAAGTCAAGAGACTCCTCCCTAGACCCAGGGGTAACCCTAGGAATATTCTTGGGTTAAAGGCGCCTGTAAGGGTACCTGCAAACCCTAAAAGGGAGCCCTAAACCCTAAACCCTAAACCCTAAACCCTAAACCCTAAACCCTAAACCCTAAAGGGCCGACTGTGGGTGCCAGTTCCCTGTGGCGCTTGGCGCAGCTCGACGAGGGCTCTCGCATCAGCAACGCGTGGGGGCCTGGCTGGGACCCCGAGCTCCGAGCGCGGCACGGGAATGGACTGGTTAGATGGTCCCTATAGGGTTTAGGGTTTAGGGTTTAGGGTTTTTGGGCTTTGGGTCTCGGGCTTAGGAGGCTTAGGGGGTAGTTGTGTGTGACAGCGGCTTCAGCCCCCTCCCTCTCAGAATTGGGACGAGCTTCCCACGAAAAGGCCTTCCCCACTTCTGAGGGCGGCGCGAGGACGGAACAGCATCAGGAGATTGCAGCACGTCGGTTGACCACGAATGCTGTGCGATGCAGAGTTTGTCAGCAGGTGCCTCTGGCAGCAGTTGTTGCAGCAGTTGCCAAGCTAGCTCACACCAAGATGCGCAGATTCTGCAGGGCCTCAAACTTTCGTGGCAGACACACGTGTCTGAGCAGCTTACCGGGGCAGACCCTGCGCTGAACCCGGATGTCGGCTGCTGAACCCGCGCAAGGGCTTGTGGGCCCTTTTTGGCCCAAAATGGCAAGGAGCCCGTCAAATAGCGGCCTGATCACTGAAGGACCTCTGCCTGCCTACACTTCCGTTGTTCAGCGCATTTCTGCGTGCATTCCAGGGGCCAAACACGGGCCACCTGTTGTGTGAGTCGGACAACATTGCCACCGCCTGCAGCACGGTCCCAGTGCTACAGACCTTTGTAGCCCAGTAACCATACTATAATAAGGGGCACCCTCTTTTGGGTTGGTTTACAAGCCCAGAACCAACAAACAAGGGGTAAAGGGCACCACTCGGCTACCCATATAATCATAAGGGCACCCTTTTTTGGGGTCGGTTCCTTTATAAGCCCAGAACCAAAAAAGAGGTAAAGGGTACCACTGGGCTACCAAGAGACATAAAGGCTGCTGCTCTGCAAACCACACATCCGCGGCTGGTCGTGGAGGCTTCAACGCCAGAACCGCCTCCACGATGCACTGTACGAGGCAGCCGTCGGTCACCTGTCATGTTGCCCCTAAACCCTAAACCCTAAACCCTAAACCCTGAACCCTGAACCCTGAACCCTAAACCCTAAACCCTAGGCCCCTCTGTTGCTGAGCTTGACCGAGCTCCTGACTGCTGTCCCCAGCAAGAGCCGCGCCATCTGCGGCTTCATCTCACCTGAGAGCATTGCGTATGCCACGCGCCGGCCTCTCTGCATGCACTACATGTGAGATTGCTGTCAGATTGGGATGTTCCCCTCTATACTAACCGTCCGTAATGGAGATGACAATGGAGGATACTATAGTCCCTATTCAGGACTGTTAGTATAAGGGGGAACATCCTAAAACTAAAAGTGAATTGCTTTCAGAGAACGCGCATCCCCTGCTCTTAGGGGCCAGACCACGGGATCCTTGCGGGAATGCTGGCCGACCGCTCAAAAGAGATCAGCTGGTCGCAAGGAATCTGACTACTTGGTAGCCCAGTAACCATATGACAATAGGGGCACGGGTTTAGGGTTTAGGGTTTAGGGTTTAGGGTTTAGGGTTTAGGGTTTAGGGTTTAGGGTTTAGAGTTCAGGGTTCAGGGTTCAGGGGCACTAGTTTTTGGGCTGGTTACTTGATAAGGGAGCCCAGAACCAAGAAAAAAAGTATCTCAAGGGTATCCCTGGGCTACCCAGGCTGTCAGAGTAGGCCTTGAGCCGCCAAAGCACCATGCACCCGGGCCGCGGCGCACAGAAAGACGCGCTGGCACGGCCGAGAAGAACCCCCTGCTTACCAAGCGGATCCCTAAAGCAAGGGATGAACCCAAAGATACCCTTAAGCTTGACTGATGTACTTGAAGCAGGGTATGTTGCTTCTGTGGGGGTTTCGAGATTAGGGGCACCTTACGGGGGGTCCTTATCATAAGGGAATCCGACTATTTTGGGGCCTATCTTGGGGCTCCCTTATTTTGTTTTTGTAACACTTCATTCGGAGACATTTTCAAACATACCCCTTGGGCAAACCCTTACAAGAACTTAGGGGGGTATGGCAAAAATCCGCACTTAGACTCCCTTATATTCTCCTTTCATCGGTTAAGTGGTATGGGTTCGGGGTATGGTGAATTATTCTTAGAGTTCGTAAACCCTACACCCTAAACCCTAAACCCTAAACCCTTATGAAACCTTCATGGGTTGTCCCGAAGCTGGCTGTCCCCCACTCAAGCCGGCGTCGCTGCCTGCTTCGTCGCGCAGGTCGGGCCTCCCATGATCTGCTTAAAGAGCTGCTGCAAGGTTTAGGGTTTAGGGTTAGGGTTTAGGGTTTAGGGTTTAGGGTTTAGGGTTTAGGGTTCAGGGTTCAGAGTTCAGGGTTCAGGGTTCAGGTTTCAGGGTTTAGGGTTTAGGGTTTAGGGTTTAGGGTTTGAGGTTTAGGGTTTAGGGTTTAGGGTTTGAGGTTTAGGGTTTAGGGTTTAGGGTTTAGGGTTTAGGGTTTAGGGTTTAGGGTTTAGGGTTTAGGGTTTAGGGTTTAGGGTTGAGGGTTGAGGGTTTGGGGTGTTCCCCGCGTGCACGGCGGAGATTAGGAAGCCCTCAAAAACCCTAAACTCTAAACCCTTAACCCTAAACAATAGCAAAGCATAACCCTAAACCCTAGACCCTCAGCCGCAAGCCCCAAGCCCCAAGCCCCAAGCCCCAAGCCCCAAACCCTAAACCCTAAACCTCCTGTAGCCCCCCGGAGCCCGGAAGGTTCAAGAAACCCTAAACC